CAGATTAAAGAAATGTAAGTATTTGTTATATATATATTATACAACAAATAGATTAATATATGATTTATTATTTTAGTATTAAAAACAAGTATGAAAGTAGTTACACACCTTCTTTTAGTCAAGATATGGTTTACTTATCTGTTGAATCACCTCCAGTAAATATTACAATGAGAATTTTTAAACGAGCTCGAACAGAACATCAAAGTGAATTAGAGACTTATTTGATGATGCCACTTGTAGATTCAAATAAAAATATTTTAGAATGGTGGCAAGAGAACGAAGGAAATTATCCAAATCTTGCAAAGTTTGCCAGAAATTGTCTTCCAATACTGGCTACTAGTGTTTCAAGTGAGGAAATATTTAGTGTAAGTGGGGATATGATTACTGATAAACGAAATAGATTAGATAATAAAACAGTAAGAACAGCGATGTGCTTAAAATCGTGGTGGAAGGAATTTCATAAATAAACTTTACAATGTAATAAACATCTTATTAAATAAATATCAAAGATAATAAGTGAATAGCAAAATATTAATTTTATTTTATTTTTTTGTTATTGTTGATTATACAATATCGAAAAATCGTCAATTAAATAATAAAATGTTGCTTAATAAGCTTGTTCATTACTTGGAACAGATGATGTAATTTTTCCAAGCATAAATAATGTAACAATAAATTAATAGAATTAATATTAGTACCAGTTCTGTTCCGGGTTTAATATGATACGGTTCCGGGTCCATATAAAGACTCGACTTCACATGATGGTTCGGGTACAGATCCTAATAAAACTCGCCCAAAACCAGTCCGTGCGGAATACTACTATAAACATCATAATTTAGCCTGAAATTATGTACCAATTTTTATCTAATTCTTATAATAATTGAACTCAGTTGATTTTCTGACGGCCTCTGGTCACCGTCGAAGAATGAACGGTAATTATACAACCCTGTCTCTGGTAAACAAATTTTGGTAGAATTAATCATAACTCTGGTTGACATAATTTTGGTAGAATTAATTCGTAACTCTGGTAACATAATTTTGGTAGAATTAATTTGTTTAATTCTAGTAAATAGAATTCTAGTAATTCTGGCAATAACAATTCTGTTAGACCATAACTTTGGTAAACATAACTTTGTAAATTTAGAAGAATTAATTCGTAATTCTGGTAAACATAATTTTGGCAGAATTGAATTTTTATTTAATTTTGCCTAGTTAATTTTGCCTGAAATTATATTTTTATTCGTAACTCCTGTAAACATAATTTTGGCAGAATTGATTTGTAACTCTAGTAAATATAATGATCTGTAAACTATAATAGTTTACAGATCATTATTGTTATAACTAGCTAAATATTGTAATCAGGGTTGCTAGTGGTAATTTATAATGGTAAGTTACCAAGATAAGTTACTATAAATTTATTTTTTGGTAAATTTCGGTAACTTATCATGGTAACTTACTGGTAACTTACCGGTAATTTTACCCTGATAATACTGATACGTATTATAAAAATCTTGTGTGATCTAAGAAAATCAAAAAAAAATAGAAATAGATTTGAGATTGCAAAAATCACTCTTTTACATTTCAAATAAAATTTCAATATTATAGTTATTACCAAGAGACTATATCAAAACTTGTAAAAAAAGACCAACACCATTACTTTAAAAGCAATAACATTAGCACCTGGAGTCTATATAATTTTCTTTTGTATCACATAGAACAAAGTGATTTTACAAGGGATATGCGTTTAGAGAATGGTTATTATTCTCACTTTTTGAAACAATTCAAAAATGAACATGGTGAAGAAGGAGAATTTTTAATAAAACAATTTAAAGTAAATTTAATTACTCACACTATACATATATTTTTTAATAGATAAACATAACAAAAGTCATATTTTTGAAAACTAAAGGAGAGCACGGCATCATCTATTATAAAAGTTTGGTAGGAGATTATAAGTAGAAATAATAAAGAAGTTAAAAACCTTCAATTAGCTTTTTCAAATACATTGAATTTGAAAAAGAATTTTTTGCAACTAGGTACCTCAAAGGTAATTGTTAAAAACCATTTTTTCGCTATATGAATGATGATTAATAATATTTTTATTAGAATGAAAGAGATTTTTTATCAGACCTGCAAGACCTTTGCGTATTACTTCAAAACCATATAAATTCAATAGAAGCTGACAAAGATATTAAATACTTTGAGTAAATAGATTCAATTTTATAATGCTTAAATATTTTATTTGTAGTTATTAACTTCCATTGTTTTGATAGCCCTATTAAAAGTGGTGTTATTTGCATCTACAATCTAGATGCTAAACTAAAGAGAAAAATATCCAATAAATATATGGACTATCTGTCAAAAAAAATATCCCTTCTGGTCAATGATACTAGTTCGCTATATATATCGGGTTATATCGAAGATATTCTGGTCTACTATACCAATTTTAATAGTGCACCTCTATGCAATAATTTAAAAAAGATTTCGTAAATGCATCAAATCATAAAATTTTTACGAAGCAAAAAAAAACAACAGAACTCAAAAATACAAGAAATGAGTGTCTAAACCTATCTTGTGGCATTAACAAAAAATATCGAGAGCGCAATTTTACATAATCCTTGCTTAATCGCTAACCTCTGAACAACTCTTACCTAATTTTAATTGCTTCATTTTAGCATCCTTCCAAATAAGGAAATTTGAAAAATTACATATTTACATACCGTTGACCACTATATACAGTATCTCCCAAAAATAATACACCCCCAATGATTGAGACCCGTCTATTATTTACCATCCCTACTAACATGTTTCTTGAATAAGACTAACTATATTTATTTATTACTTTTAATATGATATATCTCCAGATATAGTACCGAATTCTTCACACTATACCCACAGTACTATTCAATTTTAAAAATGAGGTTTAATACCACCCTACCTACTGTATACAGTGCTACAGGGCACTACATACACATCCTTTCTAATAAAATAGCTTATTTATTACCACACCGTTTATTATGCAGTCTACTTTTACATTTTCTATTATTACTTA